TATATATATATATATAAAAAGAATGCAGTCACTATAATTCGGATAAATAAGGACATAAAGTTAACATTTAAATTTATATTCAAAATATTTTGTTTAATTTTGTTAAATACTAAACTATGAAAAGCATAAAAAAAATTTGAATTTTTAATAATAAGACATTAAATCATATATTATTGAATTAATGAAGAAAGACATTTTGTGTCTTCCTAATCTTGATTACTTCAAACATCTTAATCTAACACTATCATCTCTCTCTCTCTCTCTCTCTCTCTCTCTCTCTCTCTCTCTCTTTGCTGAACTTTTTTCACTTATATCAAAAGATCTAAAAAGACCAGTTGTGGATTGCGACAATGGACAATGGCGCAATAATCTACAATAGAGATTCACCTGGAGATTTCATGTCGAATAAATAGGGTCCGTAGGACAATCATCTCGTAAACTCGGCATCCTTACGTGCCCTTCTCATCCACCTCATGGATTGTTCTTTTTGTGCTCTGTTTCACGTTTCATAGCTCTCCGCACGGAGCGGCATTTGAATCGCCTACTTATACGAGAGTGTCGAGCAAAAAGAAAGCTTTTCGTTCGATTTTATGTAGAATAGTTTTACCTGAACGATAAAGTATTACAAGATTGTAAGTACCATTTGGTCAGTGTTTCTCACTGACTGTTTTATGTGCTTAGTTTACATTTTTTTATTCTTCCAAGATTAAAATCGTATGTGAAAGCATAAATATATAATATTTTTAGAGTAAAACATGAAATACGCGATATATAATTATTCCTCTTGTGTATCTACTCACGTAATCAGGCAAACGTTTTTAAGCATTTTCTATTCTCACATCATGTCTCGAAGATCTTGTACATTCCGTGAATTTCTGGAAAAACATCGTTGATATAACGAAGTGCGCAAACGTTGTAACATATTCTCGGTGTCTAGTAATAAATTCCTGCCATAGTAAGACACCGCTTATGTACCGGTATTCTGAATACTGTTACGGTAAAAGCTTGTTGTAGCTTTCGCTTAGTGACTTGATCACATAGGTTGCTTAGTGAAATACAACATTGATTTCTACTTTTTTTTTTATTATACATAAATTACGTATAAATATTTAAATAGTTCATTGTATAGTAGATTTCATTTATTAATAATCAATCTGACAGTCAATCAGTAACCCCAATAAAAGTAATTATTCGAAATATTTATTTTATATTAAAATACTATTATAATTTATAACTTCAAATTTATGATACTATTGGTCTAACGTATTGCAATATTTTATTGCA